CCTTATGCCATTTTGTTTCGGTTAGGATCAGGTGAAGGATTGGAGAATGTATTTATAATTAGAGATAATAGAGGTGTTATGGCTTCAAGTGTGGCTTCAGACGTGAAAGGTATTCCCTTAGTAGAACACCCAAATTGTAATTTTTTTCGCAGCTTATGGAAGTTTCGCTCAACTTTCGGGTTAATTTGGTAAAATTCTCCCGAGTTGGCTCAAGTCATGCAGTACACAGTCTACCTAAATTTGGTAAACAATTTATACGTGTTGTCTAGGGTTGACACCAAAAGTGGTTAGAATACTTATAAACCAAGAGTGATTAAACTCTGACTAGTTTTGTTGACTAAGTGAACTAAGAGTTATGAGAATACTCATTGTAAACTTGGAGAGGTAAAACTCATGTAATCTTCTTAAAGATTAGTGGAACCCCTTAGTTCTTAAAGGAAAACTGGACCTAGCTTAGGATCAGTGAACCAGTATAAAATTTATGTTTTCTGCTTAGCTCTTTGAAACGTTTTCCACTTACGCACTTCATAAAACCTGTCGCCTAAACATCTTATATAAATTATATATCTTTTACTTCCTTTTAGAAAGCTTACCATAACTAGTGGTAACATCTTAGGAGGTGGAAGCTTTCCAGAATCGCCAATCTAAAAGGCTGCAAATGATCAAATTGGTTTGAATTGACAGCAAAAAAATGGAGAAAAAAAAAGCACTATAGTAGAATGCAATTGTCCGTGAGTTAAAATAGCAATATGCATACCCATTTTGAGAGTAAAACCTTAATAGTTTAGACTAGTTTTAAGAGATACCTTATTGTCTTGTTCCAAAATACCTCTACAACTTGAGAGATTGCTTAATTTCCTTTGTTTTGAATGTGTAATTTTTTCTTGTTGCTGTTACTTTGTAAAAGGCCTTTGAAACCAAGTGTCTTGGAAGAACCTTTGGTGTTCTTCCATCTCTTAGCCAACCTTTTTGAACTCAAAATTAAAATTGAACCTAGACGGTGAGTGTGTCTTGAAACCAAAGCTACAAGCCTCACTTTAGGATTTCCACTTTGTTTTTAATTTGCGTTTTTAGGAGTGACTTGGCTACAAAAGATTAAACTCTAAGCTTTGTCGCACCAAAGTCCGAATAGGTGTCTAGTTGTTTTAAAATTCAACTTTGCTGGTATGAGTTATCTTTTTAATTTCAAAAGTCATTCTTTGACATTGGTCAAGTAAGTAGTCTAAGACATTCTAGTTAGGTAAAATTTAGTACTTAAATAGTCTTTGATTCACCTCTCTTACTTAAGAATTGTCTTTTGGTGAAATCTTAAGCCTTTTCAACTTAGGATAAAATTTGAAATTAAAAGATGTCTAGACATCAATCTCACCATAAAATGAGTGATTATGAGAAATTTAGTACTTTGAAACAAATTTCTAAAGAACTTAAAGAATTCAATCTATGGTAACAAGAAGAAGTGCATCTAAGGAAAAGAGAAAATAGGAATAATGATGGATTTCAATATAAGGTTGAGAGAGATATTCCTTTCTTTGGTGAAGACATAAATACATTAATATATTTAGCTTAGGAAAGGAAAATTGATGAATTGCATCCATTCTTTACTATAAATAATACATCCTATATTCTTAGTTTATGCATTTCTAGGTTTGAAGGATATGCAAGTGAATGGTGGACTCATAGGTAGTCTAGAGTAGAAAAGGAAGAAAATCCCTCATTCAAGATTGGAGTGAATCGAAAGCTTGCTTGAGAAGAAACTTTGTTCCTCCTTCGTTTGAGAGAAACCAAGAACTAATGAGAGAATTCATTAAAAAGGGAAAGGATTTCATTAAAGGTGTTGATGAGTTCTTTCGTAGGGAAGCTGAGTTTGAAAAAAAACTTGAAAAAGAGAGGCTAAAAAGAGTGAAGAGAAATTAAGAGAGTTAGAAGAGAAAGAAAAAGAAGCTTTAAAAGTTAGAGAATAAGAAATTCTAAGAGCTAAAAGAGTCAGAGATGAGGAAGATAGAAGAGAAAGGGAGGAGAAAGAAAAGAAAGAGAATGCAGAAAATGAGAGAAGAGAAATAGAGAAAGAGAAAGATGAAATTGAGATAAGAGAAAAGCATAGGGAAGAAAGCCTATTCAAAGAAGTGCTATGAAGACACCTTCCACTCCCACAATTATGATGGATTCAAGAGTTTTAAAGGAGTCTTCCAATCCTTAATCTTTTCTCCCATTATCATTAAGTCTTATGTTTTTCTCCAAACTTCTCTTGTGAAAATATTCCAATTCCATCCTCCATTATTTTAAACTCCTCAACAAAATTTCCAAATAACATCTTGAGTTAGTGTTACCTTTTAGGTTTGATGACATACCCTCTAGCCATGACCAATCACTTTTAAGAAGAGTTGAAGTCATCTGTGAAAGATGGGCCTAGACTCTCTCTTCAAGGCCATCTTGGGCCTTCATGGAGCTTCTAGAGTAGGAATAATTTTTGGACCTTGTATTTTGGGTCAAGTAGTCTAAGATTTATTTAGGCTTTGAATTATGAGTCAAGTAGTGTTGGATTTAATTTAGGCCTTGTATTTTAGGCTAAATAATGTAAGGTTTTTATACCACTTGAGTCAACAAAGGCCAAGGCCCAATGTTGACCCAAAATGCATGTCCATGAGCTTAGGTTGATCATGTGGTCAAAGTTTTAACCTAGCTTGGTGGACAAGAATGTGTGGGATGTCCCATGTGAGAGTGGCCATGTGTTATGCTTACATTGGAGAGATTTTCTCATAATTAGTGGTCACATGTCACTCTAGGAATGGAAAGGGTTTCCCATAAGTAGTTGTCACATGTCCTTCTCTTATAGGAAATGATTTTTGCCTTTGTCTCGAAGTTAGGTCAAGGAAGTGTTTTTAGGGTTTTTCTTTTACATTTTGGAAACACCCTTAGCCTATAAATAGAGGTGTTTCCACCCTTGTAGTCACTTTGAGATTAGTAATGAAATACTGTCAAATTGTTGAGTCATTCTATTAGTCTTTAAAGGTAAGGCTAGAGCATCCCATGTGGTCTCCTGTAGCCACCTTCCTCTAGAGTTTGCCTAACTCTCTAAGAGCATCTTCAACACATCATCCCATCACCATTAAAACACCAAAGGTTGTGAGCCTTACCCCTTATCCTCCATAGCTTCCCCACCTTCATCATCACCATAACATCTCTTCATGTTTTGGCCCTAGCTTAAAGAGGTTGCTATAAAGGTTCCAACTAACTCAAGACAAAAATAAAAGTTTTTATGAAGTAGGACTCACAATTTTCATCAATAAAATAAATCAAAATATGAGGAGGTCTTATTCTAATGTTATCTTTCTATCTACCTTTTCTATAAAACAAAAAGTAATTAAGATTATGTTTGATGTTTATTGTAGAAGGATATTTGATCCAGGAAGGGTTCATGTGGACCCCAAAAAAATAAAGTCATCCAAGAATGACCAACTTCCAAGAATGTTGGGAGCAACTTCAATAATAAATCCAGATGTCTTTAGAATAAAGACGACCCGCCAAATTTGAGGACATATCTTTCTCAAGAAGGAGTGGATTGTACCTTGAGTCCAAACAATGGACCTATCAAAAGGAAAATAACTAAACAAGGATCAAATAAGGTTGTCAAGACCAATCAACAAGGAGCATGAAAGCTCAAGATCAACCCATCAAGGCTTTCCATGGTCGCCCAACGACGTGGCCAAGTCACTCAACTAGTGGGTGCTCAGCAAAACCCCAGGGTAGCTAGCCCCAAGAATTACAGTAGCTACCTACACCCATCTCGCATATCAGGCGTCGAACGACTAGTGTCTTCCACTCAACGTTTTTGTCTAGAGGCTTCTATAGTATTTCACACATGTCTTTCACGTCTTTCTTACCTTGTACATGTAGGCTTCCATGTGGCACTTCATCTGTGAATGTAGGCTAATGATTAGCTTGGTAGTTACACTTCGGGAGTCTTTGCGTCATTATAAAAGTAAAGCTCCTCCCATGTATTCAGGACTTTTGAGTGAATGAGTTGTTCTTCTGTTGAGAGTACTCCATAGCACATTTCTCACCTTGAGAGTCACGATTTAGAGAGTTTAAAGAGGCCTCCTCTAACCACCTTCCAACCATAAAAATTCATCATTACCTCATCTCAATCCATCGTTTAAACCATGTTGAATCACACCAATCACCTCTACTTCTTATTTATTCATTCCACTACATCCTTCATTCCTCTTTTGGCCACTGTTCCATCAAGTCAAGAGTCATCATTAGCGCACCAAGCATATTGAAGTAGACTGTCACTTTATTCGTGAAGTTTATGATCATGTTATTTCACCCCCTCATGTCCCTACTCAACTTCAAGTTGTAGACATTCTTACCAAGATTGTTCCTAGCTCACGTCATTAGTTTCTTGTAGACATATATACGACCACTCTATTTAACTATGAGATTTTGTTATTAATTTCATTTTTACATACTATATATTTATATATCTTACAATTTTATATATGTTATAATTTTTAATGTTTATAAATCTTCCTATTCACAATACGAGTCACAATTCAAAATTTAAACTCTCTTATGGGCGAAGCGATTCAACTACCATGGTTTATGCTATGTTTCAAATATCAGTTCACCAACAAAATAAAAATTCAATCAAAATGATAATTTTATTCGCAGTTGACATTATAAAGGAGTTTATTACTTTCAAATGTAAAGAAAATATTTTATAAAACAAATGAGCTTGTCATTATTTAATTACCAGTAGCCATATAAAAAAATTTAAAACACATGCTTTGACTGTACCCAAAATCACTAATGTGTGTCTTCATTAAACAACACAAAAAAATAATACCATCACCCTAAAATTTTGTTCTAACAACTCAAAAAACTCAAACAACATTGACAATATATTTTGCACTGGGGTTCAACATTTTCTTTTTCAGGTCATTTCCAGAGCCATTACAGAATTTATCAACAATGGACATAGATGAACTATGACCAGCTTGTGAAAGAAAGATCATCCATAGCATGAATTACGTAATTTATCAATAACGGACTTAGATGATCCATGATCAGAATATGAAAGAAAGATCATCTTCCATAGCATGAATGAACCACTAATGACATGAAGGAAAACAGGGGATGGAGGCTGTTTTTACATGCAACATGATGTATATTATTATTATATTAAACACAGTAGCTAAAGAGGAGCAAGATTGTTTAAAGACAGCCACAAGCCTTGTGCTTTCCCCTTTGACCTTCAAGGTGCAGATTATGAGGGGCTGAATGAGAAATAAAAGACACCTGGATCAGTTGGTTTTAAAAACATAAAAAGCACCCAAATTACATTAATGTAATTTAAAAACAAAAACACAAACTGCAATTATGAATTTCAGGAACAAAATATATAAAGCCAAAGAGCCACGTTATGTTGACAAACATATTTTAATATCACTATTATACAACTATTTTTATTTAATAACATAATTTATATTTTAATTAAATATCGTAATTTAATATTTTATTAATAAAAATAGTGATCAAATAGTTGTGTAAGTAATAGATGGTTGTCAAAATATCCTTTCTCCAAAGCGAAAAGAACAAGCATTTAGATTTCATATGCACAGAACAAAGAACATTGCAAAATAGTTATAAATCTACTATTGATTCCCCCGGAACTTACCATCATCAATGATAACTCTTACAGAGAAAGGCCCGCAAAAAGCAACTCCAACTCCTGCTCCTGTGATACAGTTCTCTGAAATATCAGCATAAAAGTGTAATAGGATTAGTCACTTGTTATGACCAAAATTCAAATACATGCTTATGAAACTAAAAAATAAGACAAAGTATATGACTAAACAACCTAAGGCTGATAAACAAAGAATGGTTTACCTTAACTGACATTAATTGCAGAATTTTATTAAGAACCTTAAGACGATGCATGCCATATGCACTATTAGCAGGAAGTTGGTTCATTCTCTTGATTTCCTCATGGACAGCAGTCTGTTTTTTCTCACACCACATTTGTTGTTGTGGTTTAGGCTGATCAATAGGTCCACTCTCCATCATTTGATCAAGGGTATTGCTACCCTTCAAATGATCAAAGGAATCCACTTTTTAATTCAGCTGAGCAAACATCAAAAGAGAAATACTCAGACAGCACAACTACACCAAAAAATCAAAGAGTAGAAAGACTTCAAAAGGGACATATATAACCTCATCAATAACAACATAATAGCATTAAAACATGATAAAATTCACACTGGTTATAAATCTAATTCTCCGACCAGTCACTTAGGTTACACACACTAACCACATATGTTTTCCTAAAATGCTTCAGTTTCATTGCAGCCTAATGATGCCAATTATCCTAAAACACTAAAAGCTTGAGATAAGCCTCTAGTCTTTAGCAAATTACTATCAACAAGGTAAGAAACAACTTGAGTATTTATAGTATTCATATATATAACCAATGAACATTTCTAGACTCTTGACCTACAAAGCTTGAAAACAACCTCACACATTATAAGACACATGAAGGTACTTCAAATTTGAAAATATAAAAATATATACCACAACCATTATATAACATACACGAGTAAGCAGAATTAAATGAAAAATGTAAAGTACAACTGACAAGTATTCATTTGATGTGAAGTCTTCAACTTAAATATGCATCGAGTTTATTTTGAAGTGTCTTCCTTTGTAATCATCGCAAGTATTAAAAATTTATTTGATTTAAAACAGCACCCTTCTTTCAGTCATTTTAAACGAAATCACCACCATAAGGAATCCTAAAACCCACAACATATCAAAAGACAGAGCAAGTTTCCAACATCGTCAACTGGACAACAGAGAGATAAGCAAATTTTCAAATAGAATTCAACAGTTACACCAAAGATTATTACAGTACAATCTCCAATATAGTACACCACTAAATAAAATGAAATTCTACACAATATCTTATATCACTTATTCTACAACAAAAACAATATGAGTAAACATTAGTTAGGCATATTTCATTCAGTGCCGAAGGTGTTTAACTTGTTTCTAAATGGACAACACACAATGGATCGCCTAAAATACACACAAAGTGAATCAAAATTAAATTCTCAACTTATTTATTTCCTTTCTCAAAGTTGGAAGAATGACCTCTGAGTTTTCTTTTTCTCTTCTACTTTCTACTTTCAAAGTATTAACAATTAGAAGGGAAAGAACTAAGACAAAATTACGTGTAGAAGTAAAGAGGAATTGGAACCCTAGCATGAAAGGTAAAGAGGAACTTACGAAGAGAAAGAGAGAAGAACTTCCTTCAAACCGTCCCGTATTGGAACAAAAATGCTTTGTTTATTCAAAGTGCCTACCACAACAACCTAAATCATTGGCTTAATTTTTCTTTAATTTTATTAGAATTTTTAAAAATCTCTGGTCTTTATTTTTCTAATTTAGGTTTTACTCCTTTTTTAAAATGTCTAATTTGAATTTTTTTTATTAATGCCCTTTGTTATAAATAATAATTCTTCTGCACAAATACGACAATATATGTAAAAAAAATAACCAAATTAATGAAAATAAATCTGTATCGAGAACTTTCATTCTTGACGACAAACATATTAGTGAAAACAATCAAATTAAATATTTTGAAAAAATTAAAAGATTAAATTAGATACTTTACAAATCAAAAGATTAAATTGAAAAAAAAATCAATAATTATAATATTTTTAAAATTCGAATAAAAATAAAAAACTAAATTAGAAATTAAACCTAAAATTAACTCGCATGATAAGTGTAACATCCCAAAATATAGTAATTACCATAGATCAGAATTAATTACAATTAACAGTACAGTAAACAGTCTTTAAAATTAAACAGAGTTCAAGGTTTCGAAGCTGAACGGCTGCAGTACAAACTAACGAGCGTTTCAGAGTAACAGGAAATAAATCAGAACGAACAGTTTTACAAAATAACTGACCGAACGTCCCAAAAAAAAACTATACAGATAAACCAAAGACTAAAACTTAACGAGCGCGCTAAGGCTCGGCTTTAACCTCTACTTCTAACAGGTTGGCGTCCTCCAAATTTTCTTCTTCTAGCATATCTTCAAGAGGTGCCTCTCCATCTGCTCACATCCACAACGGATGATCATCGCATTGACAAGACGGACGTACATATACAGTAGACAACACAAGGAAATTGCAAGGGTAAGCTTAGGTAATTTAATTCAATACAATCA